TTGAGAAATTAGCATAATTGATGAGAATGAAGGAATTTGTGGGATGCCCAGAGCTGCAATTCTGTACATCTTTGTGGAGGATACATGTTGTAAAATTACAAATCAGATCAGTTGAGGTTTCTGCAGCTGCTTAAGGAAGTGACATGCGCAGTGTCTGAAAAGACGCAGAGCTGAAAGTCTAATTCATTCGGGAGCCAAGGAGCCATCAACTTACTTTTAAGCATATGCTTAAGCTCTATGGCTTACGTTGTATATTTAGTCTACAACAAACCATCTAGTTTTGGTCAATGTGCAGCAAATTAGTAGATAACTGTTCTTGAGTCCTTAAAATATGTGTTGACTACAACTTAGATGCTCTGAGAAACATGTTTTTGGTACTTTGCCTTGTAAACCAAGAGGACCAAGAGATACTTAGTGATGCTTAACTGAGAATGCCTGGTAGAAGCAGTCACAGAGGCATTACCTAAATGTGAGATTAAAATTAAACCATAGAACCAACACCCTGTAGGGCAAAAGTTGAATCTGCTCTGTATGTGATCCTCCATGTTCAACCAAGTGCTGCATTTTCAAGATTTAATTAAAAAAGAAAAAAAGAAAAGGAAAGAAAGTGCTTATTCTCAGGTAGTGGACATTGCATTGATCTTAAACTTTTTTTTGTTATTATTAGGAACAGTATCAATTTCTGTATGATACCATTGCTAACACCTACCCTGCACAGAATGGACAAATAAAGAAGAACAGCCAGCAGGAAGTTAAAGTTGAATTTTGCAACGAAGTAGAAAAAACAGATCAGGAAGCTGATTTGATCACTATTGATCTTACCTCTTCAACGCCAGAGGGAAATGGAGCTTCTGAAGCATGTGTGGATTCTAAAGCTGCAGATAGCACTAAGGAGACAGAAAGCTCTGTAAATGGTCCCACAACTCCAGTTTTAACTTAGAGGCTAAATTAAAATTATGCATTTGTCAACTTTTATATGTGCAAAAAATCCTAAACAAAAAAGGAAGTATATGATTTCTTCCCCTTCCCACCTTTTTTTTTTTTTAAAAAAATACTGTTATATCAGTTTTTCAAAGGTATAGATTTGTCAGAATACTTGAAAATAGGAGTGTGTGACAAAGAACTGTGAAAAAATATTTTTTATGTAGATTTGCATTTAATATTTCAAAATTGTTTTCACTATTTTATACTTTTAAAAATATGTACAGCATAATACTATGTTCTCATTTTGAGCAGTGGGAAGTTTTTTTAAACTTTTATAATAAGGTGAAAAAACTCGGAACACCAAATTTACTGTGTTTCAAGTACAGGTCTGGTTTCAAAGCTACTAGCAAGTAACTTAACAGGTAAGAGAATATAATAGAACTTCAGGAGTGTTTAGCAAACACAGATTTCATTAAATTCTGTAGAACTTGTATAACTTTGCCAAGCAATCTTAAATGCTTATCATTTACACTGTGTATCGACCAAGGAAGTCCAACTTCCAGAGCCTTCATCCTTTCACATCCATGTGGACTATAAGCTTTGCATTTTTCTAAACTGCCTCAAGATGTCCTTGTTGCTCCATGTAAATTCATCTGAGATTTCAATAGTAGACTCAAAGAATAAGGTGTGGAGACAGCGTGCTGAATGACTGCAAAAATTCTGATAGAATTCTGATAGAAAATTGACTTTGAGAGCTTGAAATACTGTGTGCTGGCACATGTGTTTCTTACGTTTATATTATATAATTTAAAAGGAATACTTCCCTGAAATGCCTGTGCATTGAAGAGTCTTGTGCAATTTATAGTACGTGCTTCCCCCCGCCCCATATTGTAGATTTTAGAGGTGGTGGTTGTTGTTGTTTTTCTGAAGGATGAGGTTTTGTATGTTACTGTTGTGACAATTTTACTGTTTCCTACTGGATTTTAGCTAGCAATTTTGAAATAAAAAGGATAATAGTTGAAATGGTGGAAATTATTTTGTTCTACTGAACTGTGTAAATGGATCATTTTCTTCTAAATGCAAAACACCTTGTATTGTCCAGTGCATGGAGTTTTCAGCAGAAAAACGCACCATTTAATATGTATAAAACTGTGTGAACCCAAGTCATTACTCTTAGCCTGTCATTACAGATGAAGAAAAGCCCTTTATCCTGCCATTGATGGAAGTCACTGAAGTCACTCCATAAGCTTAAGGCTTTTCATTTATCACTGCATATTCCTAATCTCTCTTTACAGAACATAACTGAAAATATTTAGAGCCATGTAAACAACATGTAGAGACATACTTGGTTAAAACATTAGTTGTGTAGCTGATGTAGATCAGATATTTCATTCAGATGGAGGCGTGAGTGAAAAATTCAAAATCTAGAGGTAAATCTAGATAAAAATCTAGGGGATTTAATTTTCTTTGAATTATTTCCTAGAGTGGCGCATTTTCAAAGAAAAAATCAGAACTGTGTTAAATGTTGCCTAATGCCCATTATTGCCTGTTATTGGCCTTGCTGGTGGAAGAGGGCCCTGCATTGAGGCACTCCTCAGTGCCCTGTCACTGCTGGCACAGTGCTCCATGCACGGACAGGGGGATATGCTCGACCTCTGCCTTTTTAATTACTTTTAAATTAAATAACACTGCGTACAATTAAATCTCTCTCAATCCAGGTGTGACAACTAAGGGAGCCTGCTTTGATGCTTCCTCGAGATCCTGACCGTTTTGGGGGCGCAGCAGGGAGTTTTTGCCTTCTTTATTGTTGTTTTCATGTCAGAAATAAGAACTGCGGAGGTGCTGGCGCAGGGGCACGAGGGAGAGCGGCGCGTGCCGAGCCCGCCGCCCGCGCGCGCTAGCGACCCTTAACGGTCGCCTAACGGCTGCCTAACGGTCGCGTAACGGCGTTAACGGTCGCTGCCGCGTGAAGCGGGCGGCGCAGGGGAGGTGCCGGGAAAGCGGCCACGCTTAAGCTGAGCAGTTTCGCCGCGTTTCTCCACACATCTGCTCTGCTTCAGAAAAACGGTAAGTGCCTGCAGAAGGACGGGCTGCAGTCTATTTTAAAAATGCGCTGAAGTGCAACTGAGAAAGTTTGTAACTTTGAACGTTGAAGGTAATTGCAAAGTATTAAGCAAGTTTATATTAATGTTCTCTCTTTGATCTTGAAAAAAAAAAAACTATTTGGGGATGAGACCTGGTATAAAAAGGTATTGCAATATTAGCCCTAATAAACAGGGTGTCACTAGGTAATTTTGTACTGGGGTTCAGGAGCATCAGCCGCGCATCATGGTACCAGATTTGTGAAACTTAGAGGATGAATGATTTTCAGGAGAAAAGGCAGGTGACATTTTACAGCTGGGATGTCTCTTGGATGCTGCAGCTGCACACTCATTTGGCTCGTGGTGGTGATGTTCTCTTATGCACACCTGACTAATACCCACAGAAAAGAGAAATGCGAAGCTTAATGTGCAGTATTTTGAATTTTTAGCAAGCAGGGGCTCAGGTTCTTCTCGGAGACCAAACTTCAAGCTCTGCCAGGATGTGTGGAGAGGTGCCAGGGCCACAGGAGCTGTTGGCCGGGTCCGTGGGCCGTGGCTATGAGCGCCGCGCGCCGCCAGGCTGTGCTGGGCCCCTTCAGGTGCCTGCGCCTCGCAGAGCCGAGCGGCAGCTGCGGCCACGCTGTCTTGTACAGCACTGTGCACACCGCGGCTGCGCCTCCCGGGACCAAGCACTGCGCCCGTCCGCGTGCTGAGCCAAACCAGGCCTGCGCAGCGCCGAGACCTGTTTGTGCGCATCATGTGTAGTCCTAGTGCGGAACTAAATCAGCCGATGGATCCTTGATCGGCGGTGCTGACGGTAAAAATGCAGAGGGGGAAAAAGGCACTGCTTTGAGAGAGGCAGGTTTCAAAACAAATTTGCCAAAAAAAAAAACAAAAACTGTGGGTGAGGTAGAGTGGGTTGCTTACACTGCAGAGTGCCTGTGTTGTCACAGAATAAACCCATGCTGGCATCAGTGTCTGCTAGAAAGCTGTTTGTCAGCTCTCCTGCTGCTGCAATCAGAATCAGTGTTGGTGTTCTTCAACTGCAGAGAAAGATGGTGAAAAAGTGACAACAGAAAGTTATCACTGGAAAAATGCAGCTTTGTCCAAATGCAGACATTTGATAAGGACTGTCAGATTTGATTTCTTTTTTCTTTCTGTCTTCTTTTTTTTTTTGAGAATGTAAAAAAATTGAATTCTGAGAAGGTAACACTCTCCAGTACTAGGTTTAGCACTGGATTTATTTTTATTTCTGTTCTTTTAAAAATATTTAATTGCTATATATTTTTATAATTGTTTTATGACAGTACTTAAAAACAGAAACAATTCAATATCATTAATAATATTTCTGTTTTCCACACTTAAACAAAAATTCTCTTCAGTAAGAAAATGAAATTCTGACTTCATTTATTGATTTAGCATAAATAAATGAATTCTTACAGAACAAAAATTCAGTTTCTTCAATGGCACTAATAATTTATTCCATAAAGAGTTAGGTCTCCCCCCAAGAGATTTCTGCTATCAAATAATACTTTGGTCCTCTTCCAGTCGCAATGGCACGACACTTTCTGATGGCATCAAAGGTAGGCAAAGTCTGCATCTCTCTCTCCCCAGCAAGTACCCTGGTCTCCCCTCCACAGTCCAATTAGTGGAAGTCTCAGGTCTTTTCTTTTGCAGTTCTTGTCTCAGTTACTAATTGGTGGACTCTTCCTACTTGAATATTTTCATCAGCTTTCTACATTTTGTTCCAGTTTCTGATATGAGCGTTTCACGAACATGAGCAGTGCTGCCTGCTTTCTGCTGGTGACCCACAAGGGTGGCAAGGCAGTGACCTCACTGATGTGGGCGCAGGGCCACAGCACCCAACCAAGGTGACCGCAGCAGGTCTGGTGACAGTCCAGTGTCAGGTGCCAGCTCAGTTCTCTCCCCACAAAGTGGCGAGGCAGGGTTCGGAGCAAGGCAAGAAGCTGAGTCGGTGAGCAAGAGCAGGTGGGAATGGGGTCAGGCACAGGCAGACTGACTGTGCAGCGCAGCAAGGGTAGGCAGTGTTTGTTACTAAAATGCCTCTAGTTTTGCAGAAACTTGAGAAATGTGTCAAGAAACATGTTTCTGTTAGGTCTTCACTTCTGATGTCTTAGGCCATTTTGGAGTCACTTGTTGTGTGAAGTGCTCGTGCCACTTGGCTAGGTGCCACGGAGGTCGATTACTTGTTATAACATGTGTTGGAGCCTGTAAAGAATGGACTCAGGAAAGCCACTTAACCAGATTAGTTTTGAGGCATTCTGATCTTTGACTACTAAGCCATCACACTATCAACTACTGGCCCAGTTTGGAGAATAATATGCTCTGGTGTCATACCCGGCGTCGCTTTGCCAGCTTTCTGTTGTCAGCAGCTCTACGGAGCTGGCACCACCCTATGGTTTGGCAAAGCAGGAGTTGTTACATCATGGTGCCCAATTCATGCCATCTCTTTTAGCATCTCCAAACATTGCTGGTATTTTAGGTTTTGCACATTTAGCTGATGGGAAAAGCACTGACTCTGGTAAAATCAATGCTTCAGGCATGGCTGACTGAATGTTTTGAACTTG